CCTTCTTAGCAGAGAAAACTCATTTGCTGGTGGCAGTGATTCAAGCTGCTAACTTCACAGAGGATATTAGCAGAGCCAAATTCTTTCTCCGTTATGGAGGTCAGAGGTGAGGCAACTGTGCTTACAGGGCGAAGCTCTTTTATGGATTTCCTTGGCTTTCTGCTTTCTTCTTTACAACCGATTAACACCCAATGACCATTTCTTCAAGAAAGAAAAATTCATTTCCTCAGTTTAATTAACTTCCCTGGCTCAGTATTCACCACAGCCTGCCTGAACCCAGACAATGACTCGAGACTCAGGGTTTGTGTGGTCAGAATAAGACCTGGACTTAACCATTGCCTGGCACGCGCGAGGACTCCCGAATGCTGAGTGGTGTATCCAGTGGACATGATTTTTGGAGAGCCTGAAACTTTTTGCTAGTTTGACATTTTGCCTTGACCTCATGGTCAAAGTGCATTTGTTGACAGCATGGGTTTTATTATTGTTAATTTTAATACACTGTGGAGTACTTCTTTCTGCCTCGTTCTTTGAACAATTAAAAAACAAATGTTTATTGAGAATCCAGAGAGCATGGTGTACTTCATATGTTTACTAAGTAGCTGCAGATTTAGGTAATCATCTGCTTTTTTATTCTTTTATTACAGCTCTTCAGTATGATATGGTAGAGGCAATAAAGCATAATGATTCAGTGCATGAATGCTAAGCTGAATTGCCTGAGTTCAGACTTAGCTCTGACATTTCGTAGCTATGTGATCATGGGCAAGTTAATGGACCTCTCTGTGCCTCAGTTTCTTCATATGTAAAATCAGGAATAATAGCAGTATTGACTTTTTTAAGTAGTAAATGACCTAGAAATGTGAAACAGAACAGTGCTTGGGTCCAGACTAAGCTCTCATAATGCTCACTCACAGTGAGCATTTATTAAAGAACATCACTGATGAAAGATCACTATTTCATTGTAAATTTTCTACAATTAATTGTCCTGTCAACTCTCATTCGTCTATTACCTGTTTTGTGCAAGGCATGGTGGGTGATGGAGCCACAGAGGCGAATCCTACATAAACTCTACTCTGGAATCGTTTGGGAATTTTGTGCATACGTCACAGTTGTGTGATGAGTTGATATATGAAGGAGTCACCCATTTGCACCAGCCTGGCTATGGCTGAGTCAGGACCCCGTGCATCACAGGGTAATACGCAGTGTCACAGTGCCCCGATATCCAATTCATTATTTCCTTTAAAGCTTTCTAAATGACCTCACCTTTGCCAGTGATCTGTGCTCCTAGAAAAAGCACAGGACACAGGAAAGGAAACAATTCCCAGTGACCTTGAAAAAGCACCTTGAAGAAGGTGTTGTTTGTCACTGACTCTAAGATGCACTTTTTTTTTCCACCTTTTGACTCCTCTGAAGTCGGATGCAGAGAGAAAGTGTCGCCATTGCCCAGGCATGTGATCTGGTCACAGCCGCTCAGCTGTCACTTAACTGAGTTCTGTGCATTGTTGGTACCACAGGGTTTGAAATGTATCGTCATTAAAATGTCTTCCAAATGATTACACTACGATTTAGATAGAAATGAAAAGTTACTGTACATACAGGAAGGCACAGAAACAGAGCCCTGCAAGATATGATTAAAAAATTATGCTTAGTAAGTCTAAAAGGGAGCTTTCATTAAACATAAGATTCTAAGTGCTAAGAAAGCATGCACCATAGTATAGTTGGCAGTATTTTCTTGTTTCATAAAATAATGTTTCTTGGTACATAAAATAATGGTTTATTTTACAATTAAAAGCTTCTTAGATTCAATGAAATATAGTACATCTTAAAGCTTGAGAAATAATTAGACGATCCTAAAACACTTATCTTCACATTTTCCCCAGCATTCCAAATGTTCAATTTTTGGTAGAACCAAATTCTACTTACATTAATATTTGATTGATTTTTAAACTCATCTCATTGTTAAACCTAATGGCATTATCTTGAAAGAAATATGTTATTCTTATAACATAGAATGAAGGTTTTGATGTGCTAGTCAGATGGTTTAAATATGAATTACAATAAACCCATAACCATTAAAGTGGAAAAACATGCTTGACCATTTATTACCTAAAATTGTTTTACAATAGAATGCAGGCATGTGCAGGATCCCTTAGGGAAACCCCCCATTTAATGAGGTTTCACCTGCTCAGATCTGTCACTTCCTCCCAGCCACTGAGCCACTTCCAGACTCTTTGCTTTCAAAAAATTCACATGGAAAAATCCTGCCCAAACTGAATTCTCAGAGAGCTGCACAACTTAGTGTTTGACTCTTCAGTACCCATAATTCCCATGCTCATTTCCTTACTAAGGGACGGAAAGTTTGATGCCCTACTTGGGCTGTGATGACTGACCCTCTGAGGTTGCCAGACTTTGCCATGAATTCTTACCAACATTTTGACACAATAATTTTGGAACTTTGGGGGAGGGGTCTAATTTTAGTCTGGGGTAATCATTATCAAGATTGGTGCTTGTCCTTCAATTTACTTTCAATTTGTAAGCCCAGTCATACATCTTCTTTGATTCAATAGAGCATCACTTTCACATATGGCCAGGATTCTTGTTTCAACAAGAGAAAGAAATTCTATCAGCAAGTGACACTTCCCCACTTTGCACTTCCTACTAATCATGGCTATGTTTTCAAGGTCCTATCACAAACAGCAGCTCACTGATTTTTATTATTTTTGAAATCCATTGGCTCCCATACAGAGTGAAGCTGGCAGGTGCCAGAGGGTTAGACTTGCAGAAATTAATTAACGGAGACTGAAAGCTCTTATTAGCTGATACTTTTGCTATCTTTCTTTTTCTCATTTAACCAGTTCAGAGTGGGTCTAAGACTCTTCAAACTGGAGGCAGGGAAAAAGTAAGCGCTGAATGTTCAAGACACAAGAAATCCAAGTATTAGGCCTTGGGCAAGAGAAGAGCACTGGCCTCATTTTCTGTCACTTTCTAACTGTACCACTATCAGGTCTGGATTTAGAAAACCCACAGAATAGCTGGTTCCCAAATCACCTCCAACTGGTGTCTATATTTAGTTGATTCCAGGTAGAAGCTGGCACTTAAAAGCTGGACTGGAATCCCTCTGCATCACAACCATTAAAATTAGGTTTCAGTGCGCCATGGAAGTCCGCTGCTCTGTGAAGATGTAGCACTTTGCTGATACTCTTTAAACGTCAAACCAGTTAGAATCTATTATTGTAGATTCCACTGTTAAGTCTATGTCTGTTCAATTTCTCTTTTTAAAAGTGATTTTCTGGGATGGAAAAGTAGTACTCTCCAACTGCTAGTGGCACTATAAATTGGTGTAATATTTCTCTTTCTTTCTTTTTTAAACAATCTTTCCTAAAAGCAAGGTAGCTATAGGCATAAGATGTCATCAAATGCATATACAATTTGACCAAGATTTCTGCAAGTATTTTGTTCAAGGAAATAATAAGAAATGTGGGCAAAAATTTATCAACAAAGAAGTTTACTGTAACATTGATTAGTGAAATGTTAGAAAAACCTAAACATCCCAAATACTTTGCTATTATACAACCCACAAAAGTGATGTCAGAATATTTGACATAGGAAAATGGTTACCTTATATTGTGAAATTAAAAAACCATGTTCATGTCTCAGAACTATATACTGTTATTCTAATTTTTAATTGTATACATTTATAGCAGTTAAGAGGGGTAGAATTACAGTATATTTTTATTTTCTTCCCTGTATGTTTCTGTATTTTTCAAATTTTCCCAATTAAGCCAAAAATGTCCTTTACACCTAATTTCTCCAAATTAGTCCGATTCAAGATTTTACTTTGCATTTCCTAGTTATGTCCTTCATATATCTTCTTCTTTTTTTTTTAAATCTTCACCCGAGATTTTTTTTTCTTGATTTTTAGAGAAAAAGGAAAGGGCGAGGGGAGAGAGAAACATCCATCAGTTGACTCCCGCATGCACCCTGACCAACCGAGGATCAAACCTCGGTATGTGCCCTGACCGGGAATTGAACCCACAACCTTTTCATGTACAGGAGGCCCCAACCAACTGAGCCACCCAGCCAAGGCGCCTTCACATATCTTTTAATCCTGTATAGTCCCTTTCTTATTATTCTAACTTGATGAAAAGCACTGGCCAGCTGTTCTGAAGAACAGTCCACCTCCTCTATTTGCCTGGTCGCCTACTTGTGATGTTACTTTACTCGTGGCTCTATCCTCGCTATTCCTGCAAACTAGAAGCGCTCACTGAAGATGTGATAGAAGCAAGTCAAACAGTTTGGGCTGGAATATGTACTTCGCATTGCTTCTCATCAGAATACACCGCTGGTGATGGTCCAACTGACCCCTGGGCAATGGGGGTTTTCACAGGGAGTAGGACGTGTGAATAGGACTTGGCGACCGAAAGGAAGAGGAATGGGGAACCCAGCCGCAGGCGGTGGAACGCAAAGGACATCCAACTGTGTTGATCTTGTTCTCACCATTACGGAAAGAAAAAAAAAAACAAAGAAGAAAAGTACTTGGGGGCCCTCCATGACTCGGGGACAGCCGTTTTACAAATGGCACGTTCCCTTTATACAACTGAGCTGAGCTGAGCCGACGCAGTATTCGGTCTACGGAGAGCCACTGTCACCCTCCTCTGCCCAACCTGGGACAAGACAGGGAATGGCGAGGAAGCAGTGCGCTGCATTCGCCCCCATTCTTCCCAGCAGCCTTCCTCCTGTCTCCGGCCACACGAGGAGCTGCTGCCCAGCAGCCGTACTTCGGGCAAGAATCTTTCGGGAGATGAATCTTGTCCCACCCGGATTCCCGTAGCCAGCTTCCCAGGCAGGACGAACGGCACGTCCGCTCTCTCGCGAGCACGAGGAGGCCCCGCCCCGCTCTCCGCCTCCCGCCCGCCCACCCCACCTGCGCACTCTCAGACAGTTCCGGGGGCTCGCGGCAGGTGGCGCTGTCGGCGGCGGCGCTGCGGCCCCGGCTGCAGCGGAGACGATCTCCCGGCGGGCAGTGCGGCCCGGCTCTCCGGCGGCAGCGAGTGCCACGTCCCAAGTGCTCAGCGGAGGAGCCGAGAGGGCGGTTGGCGGGGGGGCGGGGAACAGCGCGGAGCCCGACCCGGCCACGGATCGCCCGCCGCCATGGGCGCTTCGCAGAGCGTCGAGATTCCCGGCGGCGGCACGGAAGGCTACCACGTCCTGCGGGTAAGAGGTCCGACGGCGGCCCGGGAGCAGCGGGCTGGAGGCGGGCCTTTCCCGAGGCTGGCAGGCCCGACCTCACGGAGGAGCGGCGGCCGCGGCCGCTGCGGTGCCGAGGCCGGTTCCAGAGTGCACTCGCGGCCCGCAGCCCCCAGTCCCGGGCCCCCCGCCGTGGGAGGGCGGGCTGGAGCGGGGACGGCCTCCGGCGACTTCGCCGGGAACAAACTTGGCTGCTTTTCCTCCGCACGGCATCCCGCGTCCCCTCCCCCTGCATTCTTAGCGTCCAAAGTTAGTTCCTCCGAGGCGTGGGGGCAGACTCTGCCAGGAGGTGATGGCGGAGGTACCTTTGGAGTTTTCCGAGGAGAGCACGCCCGGCACCCGCCGACCGGAGGCGGGGGATGCGACGGCAGGTGCTCGGTCCCCTCGGCGCCGCCTGAATGTCCGCCGAGGCCAGGAAGGCAAACTGAACGAAATGGCCCAGGTTCTAGGAGCCGGTTTGACGCGCTTCGGTGTATATACTCGGATTTGACAGTGGCTCCCTCTCTGGCGTCGCTCCGGACCTTTCCCGTCCTCCTCTCCCACATTTCCTGGCCGGGGGAACTTCCGCCCCGTCCTTCCTAGGGCTGCTCGGGGCGTGGTGGAGATTGGAGGTGTAGAGCCTCCGTGGAGAAAGGGGTGAAGGAGAGAGGGGGACGTTGAAACATCCAGGCAAACACAGCCAAGCAGCCTCCGTCCCCGGCTGCAGGGAACAGCACCTCACCAGGCGTTAGCCAAGCCCCTGCTTCTCCATGGACAGCCCGGCGTCAACAGCGCCTGCCGCCCTCCCCGCGAGGGGCCGGTCTGCAAGGAGCCCGGAGGGCTGTGCGCCGTGACACCTGCGTGCGGCAGCGCGATTGTCCGCAGCGTGGCCCCGAGTGCAGCGCCGTTTCGGGGTGCGGTAGAGCACCGCCAGATGCTGGCTCCTCGCCGGCAAGAGCCTTTTTCCCGAACGTGCGAAAGTGCACTTCCTGGTGCTCCCAGCATCTCTGTCTGGCCTACGCCCCGTGTTTTAGGCAGACACACTCCTCGGGTACCCCCATCCCTGTGCGATAGGGCTATGATCAGTCCCCTTTCTGATCCTCAGCATTATCGCCTCCTGTTGTCTCCCCGCTGTACTAAGAATCCCTCCTGGAGCCACACACTGGCTGGGAAACGATTTTCGCAGCAAAGTAAAGAGAATCTGTTAATAAACCATCTTACCTTCCCTTTCCTTCAGTTAAGCCAACCCCCAAGTACTGCAGAGGGAGGGGAAATGGAAGAAGTGTCAGGTTCCAGGTGCGAAGTGCAAGTTAGCGGCAGTACTTTTCTCTCCGTTGTCTGGTTTGATTTCGAGTTCTCTGCTCTTGGCTGTGTTATTCAGTATTATCCAATGACTGATTGTACCCATGAATCCTTGGGGATTCGTGATATTTTTTAATAGGTGCAATCAGTAAAACACAGTGTTAATGAGTTTAAAAAGTCTCCTAGAAAGTTGTAAACATCAAAAGGATTCCAATTCCGTGACTTCTATTAATTACTTCATTTGCCATAAAACAAGTTGAAGTGTATTTTCTTCACATAGGTGCACCTCAGTAAATCGGCACGCATACATATTCTATAGTTCAGATGTTATTAATCTATAAATCTGATTTTTACAAGCACTAGGGACAACCTTTGTTTTCTATCTGCATCTGGAGCATAAATGTTGCAAAAGATGAAGTAATTCTTATTTTGTTCGAGTTTTATAAGAGAGAGCCTTAAAATAATAATAATCTAATTTAGGATAATTTTTTTTTAAATCCTCACCCAACGACATAACTTAGAAGAAGGGAGAAAGAGCGAGAGAAACATCCATATGAGAGAGAAACTAATCGATCGCCTTCTGTACTTGCTCCAACCACCAGGGATTGAACCTGAAACCTAGGTACAGTATGTGCTCTGACCAGGAATCAAACCAGCAACCTTTTGGTGCACAATACTGTGCTCAACCATCTGAGCCACTTTGACCAGGCAGAGAATTTTTTAAATGTATCTGAGTATGTAACCTGCTCTGCCCCTGATTCTGTAATTGGTTTTCTTATCTTTGTTTTCAAAGTGGCAAGTACTATGTTAAATCCCAACATATAAAAAGATCTTCCTTGCCCTGACCGGTTTGGCTCAGTGGATAGTGTCGGCCTGCGGACTGAAGGGTCCCAGGTTCAATTCCGTTCAAGGGCATGTACCTTGGTTATGGGCACATCCCCAGTGGGGGGTGTGCAGGAGGCAGCTGATCGATGTTTCTCTCCCATCGATGTTTCTAACTCTCTATTTTTCTCCCTTCCTCTCTGTAAAAAATCCTTTAATTTGCTGTTGCTTAAATGTACAGCAGTATATTCCACCGCTGGATTACTGAGCTTGTAAACCAGAGTATATATGGCAGGTTAACCCTGGAATAAAATCACCAGTGTTCAACAAGGTCTAGAATGATTAAATTAGAAGTGTTCATTAATTCCTGGCCATTTCCTTGTTAGTAATAAAAACTTATATGACTGGGTTTTGAAATACTAATTTTATTATTATTACTTTAAAGTTCTTACAGTTCAGATTGAACTTTATAGTTTTTCCATTTTTCCATAGTCATTGTTAGATTCTTCTTTTAAAAAAGTCTTTAGGGACAACCTTGAAATGTTTCCAAATTTTCTGCTTTGAACAGTGTACTTTACTCTTTATGTTTTATGTATTTATGTATTTTCATGTTTGATCCTATTTTATGCCCCCACTCCCTGTCCTGGAAGTAACCATCATAAATAATTTCTTCATATCTTTTTTGTTGTTGTTGCTAATCCTCACCTGAGGATTTTTTCCCATTGATTTTGTTTGTTTGTTTGTTTAATATATTTTTATTTATTTCAGAGAGGGAGAGAGAGAGAAACATCAATGATGAGAGAGAATCATTGATCGGCTGCCCCCTGTGTGTCCCCCCCCACCCCCTCCACTGGGGAAGGAACCCAAAACCCAGAGCACGTGCCTGACCCGGAATGGAACTATGACCTCCTGGTTCAGAGGTTGAAGCTCAGCCACTTAAAGAGTGGAAGAGAGGGAGAGAGAGAAAGAAAGATCACTATGAGAGAGACACATCAATTCTGCCTCACACACCTCAACCAGGACCAGGGTCTGAGATTGAACTTGCAAACCAGATATATGTCCTTGACCAGGAATCAAACCTACAACCTCTGAGCAAAACCGGCCAGGGCTATAGATAATTTCTTATGTATCCTTTCAAAAATGTTTGGTACACCCTCCTCCCTTTTATTCTTTCTCTCCTCCCCCCCTTTTATAACTGTTGGCATCAGGCTGTTACCTTGGTCTTCTCATTTGATAACCCATCTTGGCAATCTTTCCATAGCAGCACATAGATCTGCCTCTTGTTTCACTTAGCTTCAGAGTAGTCTCTTGTACCATAGTTGGGTTAAGCAGCACCTTCTGATGTTGGGCATTTAATTTTTCTATTCTTCTGTTGTTATAAGTACATATCTACAACCTTAAATCCTACCTTTGATTTTACTTAAAATGTACATTTTCCCAAATTATTGAATTTTAATATTGTCTAATTATATAAACATTGAATAGTATAAAATGAGGCGACAGGTTGTCAGAGTTTTTTATTCTTTTGGAGCAAACTTTACTTTCGACATTTTTTTACTAATTATATGGATTTTTTCTAGGAAGCTGCTATGTAATAATGGGTTTTTATTTCCTTTTAGTTACTATTAGAATTTTATTTCAAATTGCTTCATATGTTACAAGTTACATCATGGGTTGAGTGTCAGGAGAATGTGCTCTTTGAGTTACTTTGGTAGAACATCTATAATAATAAAAGCGTAATATGCTAATTAGACTGGATGTACTTTAGACGAAGCCGGGGCTGCGAAGGAAGCCCGGGTCCTGGGTGCCAGAGGGAAGCCGGTGCGGCAGCTGGGGGAAGGAAGGCCTACTCTTGCACAAATTTCATGCATCGGGCCTCTAGTTGAGAATAATGTTTTAGCAGGGAAGCTTGAACTCTTTTAGTCTACTAAAAAATTATTTACTACACTTTTGTGTCAAGTCCCAAATTGGGAAACTGGCCCTTTTCAGATGTGGAAGAGCTCATTGACTCCAAAAGTGTATCTTTTATAACTCTGAAAGATTTAGAGTTTATTTTTATTACATCACATTTCCAAATCTTTTCCTATCATTTTATGTGTCTGGTTTAAATGAATCCTCATTTAGGTGTTACTTGATTGTTTTATTTTTATAGTCTTTTTTAACATCTCTACAGTTTTTAAAAACAGTGCAGAAGTGAGAGTGTTAACATTAAATTGAGAGCTAGAGAAGATGATGGTGTAGACAGAAAGTCCTTCAAAGGGATTTACCTACCTTTTATGTGGGAGGAAGCAATTGATGGTGCAGAGAAGACACATTCCACTGAGCCAGTTTTATGGAAACATCTCCATGGTTAGAAAATTTAAGATAATTCATATACCAGCCAGAAATTTGGGCAATTGTATTTTTGTATATCACTTATAAAATACCTAGTCTGATAATATCCATGTTCTGAAAGTAGCCTTGTAATTTCCTTTGTTACTTTAAGGTAGCAGTTCTGTATTCCTCATTAAATAAACCAATGCAGTTAGAGTACCGCCGCCCCTTCCCCCGCCTCCCCCAAACTCTTCTTCCCTTCAACCCTGCTGTCCCTCTCTCCCTCAAGTCAAGATATGACCCGGATCTATACTACTAAGGGGTAATATGCTAATTAGACCAGATGTCTTCCGGATGTCCTTCCAGACAAAGCCAGGGCTGCAAGGGCCAAGGAGGGCTGGCAGTGGCAGCAGCAGGGGGGTGATGGGGGCGGCACCTTCTCCTGATCTGCCCAGTCGCCTCCCAAAGACGGAGGCCAAATGGCGGCTTAGGACATCCCCTGAGGGCTCCTGGACTGTGAGAGGGGGCAGGCCGGGCTGAGGGACCCCCCC